ATGCCAAACTTTTTCTCCAAGGATGGTCAACATCTAAGAACTGACGATGACCAACATATGGGACTTTATTTGATACTCGGTATGAGGGAGTGTCTTCATTGCAAGTCGGACAACCTTTGTACGCTTTTCCGCTCCAAGCAGATAAAATACTACGATTTGGAAAATCGTTTATTGTCCATAACAACATCGCTTTCATATTGAAGAATGTACCTATCATTGCGTCTTTAGTACGTACGTCAAAACTCCACAACTGCTTCAACTCATCCACAACGGCCTAAGGAACACATCCAAGTCCTTCCCGGGTGCTTTGGGGTCGAGAATCAACAAGGTGAACATGAAGGAGGGCTCTTTCATGCATAGCCATGGTGGAAGATTGTAAATAGTGAGTATGACGGGCCACGTACGATGAGGATTTCACATGTAACCAAACAGAGTAAAACCATCAACAGCAAGCCCTAAGCGTACATTTCGGGGTTCCCTCGAGAAGTTTGGATACTTCATATAGAATTTTTGCCATGAAGTACCATCAACGTGATGAAGCATCGTACCATATTTGGATTGTCAGGTACTGTGCCAAATCATATATTTAGCTGTGTGTCTAAAACAATACAAACATTGTAGTCTGGGGGTCAGAGGAAAGTATCGTAACACCTTATGAGCCACTTTCTTACCCTTTGTATTTTCATCAACCCACCGACTCTCATTACAAACTGGACACTTTTGCAACAACTTGTGTTCTTTCTAGAATTGAAAACAGTCGTTTTTACATACGTGTATCGACTCATAACCCAAGCCGATCTTTTTAAGTTTCTTTTTTGCTTCATAATGTGACAGAGGGGGGGGACCTTGTTTCCTTGAGGAAATGTAGTTTTCAACAACTCAAGAAGCTGATCGAATGAGCTATCGGTCCATTTGTTGATCACCTTGATATACATCAGCTTTGCTAAAATGTCAAGGGACGAAAATGAACATCCATGATATAATTTTAATTGGACTTCCTCTAACAGCTTTTGAAATCCACCATCGACACCGCTACCCTTTATATACGGGTTCCCTTCATCTTCGTTGGTATCGTTTTCAATCACACCCCCTATAACATCAGCAATAACATCGGCCATCTCGTTACTACACGATATGTCTTCTACAACTGGAAGAACTGTATTTTCTCCGTGATACTTCCATATAATATAATTTGGACAAAAACCATGCTGAAGTGTATGGAATTTCATTATGGCTAGTAGTATAAATTTATTGACATTACATTTGTTACACATGCATCTGATTTGGCCTTTGTTATCAACATGTGGTTTGGACCTCTCCAGGATTTATCAATAGACATGTTACGGTTTTTAATAGTAGTCCAGGTTTCATTAGATGCAACATGTCTATTGATAAAACCTGGACTACTATTGAAAACCATAACTCTACCGTGTTCCAACAAGGACTCGAATCTTTTCTTGAGAGGTCCAAACTACACGTCGATAACAAAGGCCAAATCAGATGCCCGTGTAACAAATGTAATGTCAATAATTTTATACAACTAGCCATAATGAAATTCCATATACTTCAACATGGTTGTAGTCCAAATTATATTATATGGATGTATCACGGTGAAAATACAATTCATCTGGTTGTAGAAGACATATCGCGTAGTAATGAGATGGCCGATGTTATTGCTGATGTTATAGGGGGTGTGATTGAAAACGATACCAACCGCGACGAAGGGAACTCGGATACATAGGGTAGCGGTGTCGATGATGGATTTCAAAATCTGTTAGAGGAAGTCCAATTAAAATTATATCCTGGATGTTCATTTTCGTCCCTTGACTTTTTAGCAAAGCTGATGCATATCAAGGTGATCAACAAATGGACTGATAATTCCTTCGATCAGCTTCTTGAGTTGTTGAAAACTACATTTCCTCAAGGAAACAGGGTCCCCCCCCCCTCCGTCACATTATGAAGCAAAAAAGAGACCTAAAAAGATCGGTTTGGGTTATGAGTCGATACACGTATGTAAAAATGACTGCTTTCTTTTTTGGAAAGAACACATGCTGTTGCAAAAGTATCCAGTTTGTAATGAGAGTCGGTGGGTTGATGAAAATACAAAGGGTAAGAAGGTGGCTCATAAGGTGTTACGGTACTTTCCTCTGACCCCCAGACTACAACGTTTGTACTGTTTTAGACACACAGCTAAAGATATGATTTGGCACAGTATCGGACGATCCAAAGATGGTACGATGCTTCATCCCGTTGATGGTACTTTATGGAAAAAATTCGATATGAAGTATCCTAATTTCTCGAGGGAACCCCGAAACGTACACTTAGGGCTTGTTGTTGATGGTTTTAATTCGTTTGGTAACATGTGTAATCCTCATAGCATGTGGCCCGTTATACTCACCACTTACAATCTTCCACCATGGCTATGCATGAAAGAGTCCTCCTTCATGTTGACCTTGTTGATTCCCGGCCCCAAAGCACCCAGGAAGGACTTGAATATGTTCCTTAGACCGTTGGTGGATGAGTTGAAGCAGTTGTGGAGTTTGGGCGTATGTACTAAAGATGCATCGACAGTTACATTCTTCAATATGAAAGCGATGTTGTTATGAACAATAAACGACTTTCCAGCTCGTAGTAGTTTATCCAGTTGGAGCAGAGACGGGTACAAAGCTTGTCCGACTTGCAATGAAGACACTCCCTCATACTGCGTATCAATAAAGTCGTATATGTTGGTTATCGCAAGTTCTTAGATGCTGACCATCCATGGAGAAAACGTTCGGCGTATAATGGCCAACACGAGACAAGAGACCCTCCAAGACAGTTTAATGCGGAAGAAATACAAGCGTAACACGCTCGTCTATTGTTTCGTCCACCGGGTAAAGTAGCTGCTTAACGAGCTGGTATTAAGAGAGATCGTGAGGATTTCAAGTTGAATTGGTATAAAAAGAGCATATTATTTGAACTTGAGTATTGGCCTTCTCTAGAGCTGAAGCACAACTTCGATCTTATGCATATTGAAAAAGTTGTAGGTGAGAGTCTTTTGGTACTTCTCTGATGAATGATAAGTTTAAAGACACATCAAATGATCGGGCGGACTTGACAAAACTGAACATTTGGAAAAGTCAATGGTTGAAAAAGAGTGGCAACAAGTTCCTTAAACCCCATCTACCTTACTCATTCACGAAACCTAACCGCATTCTTTTTTGTAGGTTTATAAGAGATGTGAAACTGTCGGATGGGTTTGGATCTAACATCAGTAAGAAAGTGAATGAAAACAATACTAACATTATTGGGTTGAAATCTCATGATTATTACATTCTTATGCAACGTTTGATACCCACTGGAATTAAAGGGGTTTTGGCCAAAGGTATTTATAAACGAATAGTAGAGCTTTGTACGTTTTTTAAGCAACTTTGCTCGAGAACACTATCGATGAAGGATATGAAAGAAGCGAAAGCAGCCATTATTAAAATATTGTGCAAGTTAGAAGTGATCTATCCTCCTGCGTTTTTTTGACATTATGGTTCATTTAGTTGTGCATTTACCTGATGAAGCTATTTGCGAAGGCCCAGTATGTATGAGATGGATGTATCCATTCGAAAGGTATATGAAATAACTAAAAAACTATGTCAGAAACAAGGCGAGGTCGGAAGGTTCTATAAATGAGGGTTATGTCGCTGAAGAGGCATTAACATTTTGTTCGATGTACCTTGAAGATGCCGAGACTCGATTTAATTGCATCAAAAGAAACGAGGATGTTGTCATAGAAGAAACAAAGTTATGGGTGTTTCAGTCTAAGTGTCGACCGACTAGCGCAAAGAAAATGAAAATCTCAGTCTAAAGGATAGAAAACATCTACAATAGTTTGTGCTTGATAGTTATGACGATGTCACAAAGTATATTGCGTAAGTTTTCTTATCTTTTAAATCATTGTTTGTTTGTAATTTCTCCCTTTTTACTAAATCTATATATTTTTTTCATCAATGTAATGAATTCAAATCATTACATCTTGAAAGTGATGAAAAAACCGAATTCCCAAAATGGTTCTTTCACAAGGTCTATGATATGCAGAAACAAAATTCTCCAGAGTTTAAGGAGTTATCGGCTCTTTCAATTGGTGCACATGTGAATACCTTTACTTATACCGCTTGCATAGTGAATGGTGATAGGTTTATGGTACTTATGAGTGACGCCCAACGATCAACACAAAACTCGGAGGTTCTAACTGAGAGAGAGAATAAGCAGAAATATTATGGTCAGTTAGAAGATATTATCGAGTTACATTATCCTCATAAATATTCCACTGTACTTTTTCGTTGCAAGTGTTTCGATAGTGTAGGAGTTAAATCTGAAAATAATTTCACAAGTATCGACCCACAACGTGAATTGAGCAGCGAAGATCAAATCATATTTTCTATGCAGGCCAAGCAAGTATTTTACATCCAAGAACCTTCTCGAAGTGATGAAAATGACAACCAACGGTAGGTTGTTGAAAATGTTAAACATATAAGAATTTAGGATCTACCGATGAACGATGTCGACCATGATCCCATTGAAAATGTCGAAAATGATTCAACCGATGATGTTCTTAGTAATGCTTCTTCTAATTTCACTCTTTCAATCGAATTTAGACAGTACTTTCAAAATTCTCAATCGGTTGAATATGATATTGAAGTTGGTCCACCAACGGGTATCATCAATAATGTGTCTGACTGTGAGACTGATTATAATGAGGAGGATTCCGATTATGATAGTGATGTGTCAGTAGACATTGAAGTGTCTGAGGGCGAGAATGATAGCGGCGCAGCTTGTTGCCCGTTTGCCTTCCATAGATATATATATATATATATATATATATTGAGCTATATTTGATTTCAATCAATATTTGACTAGTAAAACAAGGTTTGTATTTGTTGTAATCATATCATATTATATGTATATATATTCATATTATGTTATAACTTTTCAGGATGTCATTTTTTTAGATTGCATTGCTCCATCTCATGGCTGTTGTGATGAACCATGGAGGTAACGAGCCACCACATCCGTTCCATGGAGGTTTTGGTGATCACCTGATCAATGGTAATTAAGATTTATTCTAATTCATTGTATTTCATAATGTATGTATATAAAAAACTATTTTGACTAATATTTTTTTATGCAGCGGTGCCTCCAAAAAGAAGAGGCATGACAGTAAACAAAAAAATGTACAAGTTATTTGCAGCTAACAGCAATCGGCCTCTGAAGATAATATTTTACATAAATACCCACATGTCGATTGGGTAAGTATATGAATGTTTCATTCGGGATGTTGCGAGCTATATGTGGCGCGATATCGGTTTCGATAACGATACATGGAAAGAAGTTTCTGAAGCTGAAAGGGTTGGCATGTTGGAGTATCTTTCAGTAAATTATTTATAAAGTTATATATTTAATATGTTTAGTTTTGATTTATTTTTAATTTCTCTATTTTTTTGTAGACGTGGTTTGATTTTGGAGCGATTTCAAATGATCCAATGGCTTCAGTTTATTGGGCGTCACAGAACAATCGGATGTGTGCGCGGTATAGAGGCCGCAAAAATATTGCAAAAACTCGTTTTACTGGTTTTAAAGGGGATGTGGAGGCAGCAAGGGCTCAAGCCCCTCAGGGTATGGATCCACAACGTTGGAGTGATGTTATTGACCATTTCTTAACAAAAAAGCATCAAGAACGATCCGCTGGAAACAAAGAATGCCGAAAGAAGCAAGTAGTTAAGAATCGTGGAGGGACCTGCGGCTACGGTAGTGCTTGTTTTAAGAACGCAAGTTACAATAATTCTTATTCAGTTATAACATATTTTTTAATGTTTATTTAAGTATAAAATTTTTAAGAACGTAAGTTACAATAATTCTTATTCAGTTATAACATATTTTTTAATGTTTATTTAAGTATAACATATGTTGTAATGTTAAACCAAATTTGAATAGACTTGAAGCATTTCATTGTAGGCATGCGAATAAAAAAGGGGAATTTGTTGATCCTTTTGTTGAAGACCAATATGTAAGTTATTATTACTTCAAAATGAAGTAGATTGTTGTTTTATTTTGTGTTAGTTTTAACGTATATTGACAATCTTTGTGAATTACAGAATGCCTTAGTTGCTGAGGTTGCTTTACAGACTCATCACATAGCCGATTCCGGTGGTGATCCAGACTCCATTGATTGGATCGCAATATTTGAAAAGGTGTTAGGTGCTCAAAGGGGGCATGTGAAAGGCATTGAGCCTAAACCTTCTTTTGCAGCGGGTACAAGTGCTCTATCCCAATGGCAGTCACTGTCACAAGCACCACAACCAACACAAGTACTTGTTAAATTCTTAAAGAATTTGGTAGCTTTGCTATATTGTTAAGAACTTGATGCATTTATAGTAATTTTTGGTAGTTTGTTAAATTGTTAAAGACTTAATTGATTTGGTGGTTTAATAGTTTGTTAAATTATTAACGAATTAATTCATTTGGTGGTTTGATAGTATGATAGTTTGTTAAATTGTTAATGCCTTAATGTGCTTGTGACTTAATTGTAGGATGTTGATGTGAATGCTACTCTTCAAAACCTGGCGTTTGTGACGGAAATTGGAGATATTATTCGCTCGTTTAAGAACCAAGTCAACAACGAAGAAAACAATGATGGGGAAGACGAATACACATAGTATTTCTTATTTTATGTTATGAATGATGTTATTTTGGAATTATTAGATAGTTTATGGATGATATATTTGGTGTTTATTTTGGATTTATTATATAGTTTATGTAATGTGGTATATTTAATGTTTTATGTAATGTGGTACGTATTTATTTATGTATTATAAAATCTGCACTTTATAATATATATAAACTAATATCATAAATAAATTGTTTTAAAAAAAAGCATTAGCAGTGACACCTTTAGGGACGACTTTGACCAATTGTGACGACTACTAATTCCTGGAGGAGTAGACGGAAAAACTCTGACCGGTGGCCGAAATATCAATAGAGACGGCACCAATACCGACGAAATAAACATTTAGCGACGACGAGTATTACAGAATATAGATGACGCCATTTGCGACGACAAACGAGTATTAGCTACGAGGTAATAGCGACAACCATTTAGCGACGACATGTCGTCGCTAAAGGTATTAGCAACAACATGTCGTCGCTAAAGGTATTAGCGACGACATGGGGCATCAATTGCGACGCTTTTTGTCGTCGGTAAAAGTTACGTTTTTGTTGTGTAAATTACGCTAATTAATTAATTAAGAACCAATTATAATGCTATATAGCTTTTTGATTGGTAAAGGTAAATTGCACTAGAAGAAAGTCGAAATATATTTGTATCACCAACCACGCAAGGGTTTTGTTGGTAGGATTCGTTGTATGAATGATACGTAGAACTTACCATCAAGAAATTCTGGACTAGAAAGCTTTTTATGCAACTGTGATTGTGGTGGTGGTGTTGGTGGTGTAGGATGCTGCCGGATTTTTGCATTCAGCTCAACCATGGAACAACCTGTTATTGCCCCGCAAAACTATAGTATTTATCATTGCAATTATATTTGTCTTAAACGATGATCATAATTAAAAACAAGTTAGTAAGGCTTGAGGGAGTGAGTGCGGTAGAGGGTGCATTCCCTTGGCACATCAGCTTGGAATACCGCCCCCACGGTGCGGTTTTGGTGCAGTAGAGACCGCACTGTGGCACTCCAAGGGAGTGCTCATCTCTTCATATTGTCATTCCAATTTATCGTTGATTGGTCATATTTTTTAAAAAAAATGTTTTTTTTTTCTTTTTTAAACCTTATAAATTGAGTGTATGAGTGTATCACCACTCATTGGGTGTGACATGAAACCACATTTTTATGGTAATTGCTCACGTGTCGCCTACATAACAGTGAAGATAGTGCAACTTTTATGGCACCACTCCCTATAGCCTAAGATATCTCATGTAAAAGTAAAACAAACATTTATTTCAATATCAAGTTAATGTAAAACAAACATTTATTTCAATAACTTTATCTACTTTTAACACTTTAATTTTCAATCACGAGATGTTACAACTGTAAGAAGAGCTATATAGTTAAGCTAATTAATAGTTTAATACCTAATCGAATTTGATTTTAGAAGCTAAATGAATTCATGACATATATACTAATTGAACCGTAAGTCGTTTAGCCCCATCGTAAGCAACTTTTAGCATGGACAAGATAAAATAAACCAGTAATTAGCAATTGCAAATTTGGCAAACGTTTGTGCGTGATGTTTTATATAATAAGGATATGAAGTAGCTCAACACACCCAATTTGGCTTCTTTTAAAAACAATTTGTGGTTGCTTTTCTAACAAAGGCCATATATAGGAGCCTATAAAATCTAATCCATTTTCTCTTACCTTCTCTTCTCTTGGTTAAATGTTACAAACATGCTTGATATAGGGACCATTTTAAATAAAGGAAAATTTCTAAACTTTGTACATATAAATAGATATACCCACTTTTATTTCCTGTTAGAAGACTTTTTTTCGTTTCTGTTTTCTTTCTCTTTACACTCTGATAGAAGAAATAAAAGAAGCCATAATTTCTTGAAGCATATTTTTTGTTGTTGTAATCGATTCCACAAAGGTGTTCCGATTCATTTTCAACCCTACACCTTCAATTAATGAACGATACAAATATTGATGTATATGTATGGGACTCGTAAAGAAATTCATTCATGACTTCAAATTCATTCATAACAAGAAGTCAAACTTGTTGTTAAATTAGTCGATCTACCGCCGGCCATATAAAAACAAACATTTCAGAGCAACGTTATGGCAAATGCAGCAACAGCAAAACATACCTTGTGAAATCCGGTAGTGGTATTCTGGCTGGTCTCTGCAAAATAACAAGTACTTATCCAAAAAAGATAAGAGGTTTTGAGAAAACAAGAGAAAGATGAATCGATAAAAAATGGTGCACGAAATCTTGCATTCTATGAGTCATGAAAAATGTGAGAAATATGAAGTGGTTGTTGAGCTCCATCAGTATTGATTACTGCATTTATGAGTTTGAACTGCATGCTGAGCTCGTCCATTAAATCGGATCTGATTTGATGACTATAGTCCAAAGTCCAAACTTTAACTTTTTTTATAAAGAGTTATCCATTAAAATAATTATTTTTGGTGCAAATATCACCCACCCACCTCCATTTAGGGACAAAAGAGATTCTAGCCCAGCGGTATCCGGTGTTGCCCTCCCTCCTTGAGGTTGAGGGTTCAAGTCTCGTCGTGGACATATGTGGATTTAAGGTGTAGTTTAGGAGTAGGTTAGATTGTCGTTCAAAAAAAAAAAAAAAAAACTCTGTTTAGGGAAAACAAATGAAACTGGAGATCGTGAATGACCATCGTGAGTTAGCCATATTTTGACAAAATACTTGCGATATTTGCGAGTAATACATGTGCCATTATCTTCTTATAACTATCTTATCTGTGCCATTAATCATTATTAATTCTTCCAAAAAATATATACTCTCTCCGTCCCAATATTATTGTCCACAGACAAAAAACACACATATTAAGAAAAGCATTAATTACCACTAACTTTATTTAATAAAATGACAGTTTTGTCCTTATTTTGCATTTAATGTTCCATTAAATGCTTAGTTGGTTAAGTAATAATGAGGGAGTATTTTGGTAAAAATGTTATTTATTTTTAGAAGTGGACTATTATTTTGGGACAAACCAAAAATGAAAGATGGACTATAATTTTGGAACGGAGGGAGTATATACTAGGCAACTCCGACATGGTGGATTGCGCATGTTATTTTTTGTTTGGACAATAAGAAAAACAATCATTGTTCACGTAAAATTTCCAGTGTAATGTAAACATGTTAAAAAAGAAATAACCTTATTTACATCATTTTTCAGATTTGAAGGTACTATGATTATCTATTCAGATTATGGAGGATTTGTATATAATTTTATGCTTTACACAACAAGCAACATCAACTTTAATTGCTTCGCCACCATTTCCTCTCTCTTCTTGGGTTGCCTTCATATCTGCATTATTTATATAAGAATAACTCTACATATTTAGATATATATACTTCATATTTTTTTCTACTCACAAAAGTATATACTTTATTTGGTTGGAATGAGTATATAATTTCTGTTACACAAACTATTTGGAATTTAGCATCTCTATTTAATAAGAGAATGTATATTTTATGTCAATCTTCAAACCAATTGGTGGTACAAGCATATGGAAATAACAGTTTAGAAAAAATTAAGGCATCAAGTTTGTTTGAGAAATTAAATATCCTCCTACTTTTTCTTCCTATAAATCTTCCTACCCAATTAAATGATGATACGTGTCACATTTAATGCTCATTTAATGATATTTTAGTATACTAAAATGACACATGTCATCATTTAATTGGGTATGATGATTTGTAGGAACAAAATTAGGAGAATATATAATTTCTCAGTTTGTTTTGTCTGTGGTTAGCTCACAATGTTGATTAAATGTTGAGTGCTAAAACCACCAAAGAATGTTTTCATTCATTAATAATAGTCATTTAAAATTAGTAGTCACATATTTCAATTTTAGTAAACTCTGTTTCTTATTAAAAGATTTTTTTTCTTATTAGCTGAAACAGGGGCAAAATGTAAATAATAGCAGTACACTTTCATTTGCTGGTCTAATATAGCATCTTAGTTTCATTTATATTTCTTTAACTTTATAATTTTATTAAAATCTTTTTCTTATTAAACTATTGTACATTGAAAGTGCAATGAATAAATTATAGTGACATGTTAAAATTTTCTCATGTGGTTACCCGTTACCTTCATGTTTTAAGTTGTGC